GTGCAGCCCACAGTAGTGACCAAGGCAACACTTGGTATGCAGAGTCCCACAGGAGATAGCATTTATCCCACACATTTACATTTATGCCAGAAATCTGCCCACAAATACATCAGTCTGTTATAGCACTTAACACCAGTAAATAACTGCAAATATAGTAGTCTCTTGAAAGATTCCTCTGTAAAGACTCAAACTGCTCCAACTACAGGGAACGTCCCAAAATTACACGAGCTGAAGCAGCTAATGGCTTCAGCCAGCACTGGACCAAATCACAGCTTCTGGACCATGTAACTTATCCAATATGTCAAATCTCATTGAAGACTGAGACCACATTTGCTTTTATCTAGTCTTCTGGGCTACAACTAAGTAGCCTTCAGACCAGCCCTGAGGTCAGTTTTGCCGCTTATTGATTTGCTGACGTGCCTTCTGTGTTGGTCCTGTGGCACCTCAAGTTCTGCTTTTGCAAGTAAACCTTCATCTGTGTCCTGCATCCAACAAGGCTTTTACATGCCGTGTGGCCAGACCTTCAAACGCCATTCCTCATCCACAAGTCTCCATCTATCTCCTCTGCCTTTGCGTACCTCAGACAGCCAGTTCTGGGCAGCCTTCCTAGGAAAGCCCTGGCAATGCTGGCTGCAACAGCCATTGGCATTTGTAGTCAAGCTGCCTGCAAGGAAAATGACAATGGGAACAGAAACCCTAAACTCTAAAATAAATGCAGACAAAAAATGGATACAAGAGCACAGTTGCACCTATACGAAACAGAAGCTCTGCTCCCTTCAAGTTCTCTGTGGCTGGGGGGAAAAAAATCAGCATGTTAACATGTGACTTGCAGTAAATAAGTCATGTGCATTAATTTGTATATTCACATTTTCTATAAATTTTTTGCTTAATTTTTTTTTTTTTTTTTTTTTTTTTTTTTGGATACTGGAGATTTCTAGATGTCCAGGTGTTTGACAGGTTAGAGGAAATTTTAAATGCTTTGCACAGCTGAGTTACAGAGTCTGAGGAGACTGAGAGTGAGCCCACAACTGTTTCATCTGACTTCTGTTGGCCAGCACATCCCTCTGAATGTAGTGCAGAAGGTATGGCTAAGGACAGCTTTTATGCTTTGGGAGACCTCCAGAGCTGCTTCTGCTCACTTCTTCTCATAGGGTGAAATATAAGTATGCTTATGCTTCAGCTGGACACCTGTTATAGAACTCTCTTAAATAAATATTTTAAGAAAGATGACAATATCCTAGACATTTTATAATTACCTTTGATTTACCCCTCCCAGTTATATATTGACCTTGTACTCCCTCAATCACTTCTTTACCCTCAGTGTATTTGTAAACCCTTTCACTAATATCCTATTTGGTCATTTGGTTTGGAAAGGGAGTGCTTGGTTGGCAGCTGGGTTTAGGTTCGATATCTCTGGTTTTGCAATTTATGAGTGATTTTATACAAACTTTGTTTCCCTCCACAAGTGCTAGCACAGGCTGCTGAAGAGGGAAGAGAAAATGTTTGTTTGTTTGGGCCAGTGGGACAAGTAGCAGGGGGAAATTTTCTTTTTATTTTCTTATTCACAGCACAAAATACACTCAGCTTTGTTGACTTGTATTTTTCAATCAAGTGTTTCATCAGCAAGCAGAAGAGGAGACATGGCAGTATTCTAACAAACAAGGATCCATTAACTCTACATTTTTTTTCTTTTTTTTTCTTTTTTACTAGATTTCAACTTGCTTACTAATTGGGGAGTAGTAGTTTTTGGTAGCTGGAAAATACAGTTGCAACCTTGTATCAATCTTCTTTTGATGGAAGCCAATAGTGTCTATGGACTATTTTGACACTTGACTACCTGTCACCTAACATTATTGTGTTGGTATCCAGCCTTACTAACCCGTGCCATATGTGCAACCACTTTTAATGAAGGAGATTTTGAAACAGAAGTACTGACAACTCATACAAGACTAGCCTAAACCACGAAGTGATGGCATTGACAACATCCTGGTTGAGTGCTACAGAAGTGTTAGAAACATACATTTTTAATGTCTCCTTAAGAGTAAAATGTAAGCTCCAAAAATTGTTCTCGACAAAATTGGGAATATGTGTTGAAATCTCAGGATCAACTTCTAGTGGATACAGAAAGGAAGGGTCATTGGTCAAGCAGGTATTTTTCCCCCATGCACCTACATTTGAAAGTCACCAGGAGATTCCTCAGCCCTGGTTTTTCATTCCTTTTCTTAGGCTGAGAAAACCATTTGAAACTCAGCACTTCCCATTGTATTTCTGTATCTGAATGCCAAAAAAATTGGACATGTATTTTCCCAGCTGGTTTCTTATTGCATTAGACAATGCTGTGCTACTTTACTCAACTGAATACTGATAGTTTTTACTGCATTTGCCAATTTTGCAAACATTTGGTGATGTTACTCTCCAGGTGTTGAGCTCTGCTACATGACGACCCACATTCAGTGTCTCTGTATTAAAGTTCAACCTTTACAATAAACTTTAAAGGATATTTTCATTAGATTCCAGGGGAAAATCACAGGAGTAAAGAGAGATACAAATTTAAAAGATGTAAGTCTTGCTTCTTGCAAGCTGAAACTGTAAATACACTGGTCACTAACCAGATTCTGCCAGAAGGAAAACTTATTCTGCTTTCAAACACCTACATAAGGAAGAAACTTCTAAACAAGCTACCTAGCTTGAGGACACCATTCGCTATATAAAACAAATCCTTCTCACTCAGGTTTCTTCAGGTCTGTTTACACTAATTTTATTCCTCCTCCCCCAAAGGGCCAAGATTGTGAGCTGAAGGAGAATTATACAAGACAAAGAGTTTCTTAAAATCCTGTATTACCTCACATCCCATGAATTCTTAAAAAGTTCCATGTGCATGAAAATAAATCCACTCATTTCCCGAGAAAAACAGTACTAGCTGTTAAAGAAACCAGTGAGTTTTACCAACCAAAATGAATATACTGGCATACCAGCAAGATGGCGGAAGACTAGTTATTATAGTCCCAGCTACAAGCGCTGGCTCTTTACCTTAGCCTTCTTGGGTAGGTTTCTCCACCTCCGTCTTCCGAGTGTTAGCAAAGAGTCTTCTCAACCTCTGTAAAGCTAAGTCCTGGAGCAGATGGTATTTACATGAAGGACTCTTCCTTGATGAATCTGTAATGGCCCTTGCAGGAAGTTCTGAGTCAAACATAAAACCAATAGGACATTATTCTGTCTGCAGCAGAAATGCAGAGTTCAAACAGATTTGTTGAAATGTATCTAAGTGTTTTGGTAAGATATTTTAGAGCATACTAACGCACATGTGTTAGCCCAATACCAGCCAATCAGCATAAAACATTCTGGATGTTTTATTCCCATTAACCAAAACACCAGCAAGCAATCTCTTCTTAGAGTTCCTGTTAAGATGTCAGTGTTCTTAGGTTTTCATTTAAGTGTTGATGGGAAAAAGTGTTACCTAAAAACTTGGATTACAGGACAACCTTAACTAAAGTAGTTCAAAATTGGAAATGTTGTATTTGAAACTATTGGTTTTAAATTGTTTTGTATAAAATATATTACTGAGGAATGCATGTAAATTTATCATTTTTTTCTGACTTTTTAAAAGAAAAACTGTATTCTAAATGTTAAACTCCAAAGCTTTGGGTTTATATTTATGATTTTAAAATCCTGAATTTAGTAAAACTTAAAATTTGGTTAGGCATAAAGAATCAAGTTAGTTTTATTGTATGTTATTCATAGGTGAAAGTATCTCCTAAAGTCTTTGTAATCCTAGAAAATTTTCCTCTCCCAAAACTTTTCTGAAAGCCACACTTTTGAATGCTATCCTTTATTTTATTGACCCACAGCATTGCTGTGATAATTTCATTTGTTTGGCTATTTAAGATCCTGATATATATGCCCGTGGTTATGTATTTATGAAGGTAGAAAAGCAGCATGTGTATCAGCCTCCCCAGCCCTATGGCACCCGGGGAAAATAGGAGAAGGGTTTTTCCTTGAGGCTGTCTCCCAGGAGCCCCAGCTGAGCACAGCCACAGGCAGAGCAGCCCAGGCACCATGGGGCAAACGAAGCCCGGTGGCCAGAAACAGAATTCCTGACACACAGTATTAGTTAAAAAAAAAAAAAAAAAATCTGTCAGGTTTCTTAACTGGTGTATTTTACAGAGAAAGAGGCTGGCCCCAGCAGTAAGGAGAGTGGCGAGCTTCTTGGGAGTGCGAAGAGGAGGGAAGCAAGGGGAGTTCTGTACAGCAGGTAGGCAGCAGGAGAGAGGTACACACTCACAACACAATTATACTAGTTTAGGATCAGAATCAAGCTTTTGATTACAACAAAAAGATTGGGGGATTATTAAAAATGCTGTTTAATTGCTGTGACTACCTCCTCTGTTAAAAGTGTTAGACCTCTTGTTTCTCATTCATTATGGAACAAAAGACTAAGCATTTAAAATACTCCTTTCTCACTGAGACCTATAAAATAAACTGCTGCCCTACTCCTTTCTTATTATGGCAAAAGAAAATAAAATCTTCTCATCAGATTATATTAGAAAGGTGATCTTGTTGAAATAGTTATGAGCTACGATTTGGGAGCATCTAAGCTCAATATTTCTCTTTGCCACCTCTTTGTTACCAACCCCAATTCTGTCTTCTTTAATCAGAAGTCATCCAGATTTAACCCATTTCCCCCAACAGCTATAAATTCTTAGTTATATTCACAGAATAAATTCAAAAATAAAATACATAGTATCAGGAAGGGTAAAACCTATGGTTCCCACGTGCATAACCCGTACCCGTTTCTCTCCATGGTTGCATCAATACCCCTGAGTAAGAGTCTGGGGTTTCTGGCACCGTGTTACCCCAGCCTGCTGCAAGAGGATCTCACCACAAAGGTGCTTTCACGATTACTGTCGCTAGTGGAACTGCAAAGTGTCAGAAACAGTGAAAAAGGGTTTTTTTGTTTGTATTTGAGGAAGCAAAGCAAAAAAACCCCATAACTCCAAAACTTACTCCAGACAAATCTTTAGTTATTCTTACAATGTACAGCAGGGCCCAGTCTGAACTCATACCTCAATAGATTACAATCCACATCATCTCACATTTGGCAAAAGTGCCAATTCCTCAGAGCTACAAAGAACAATATATACTTAAGTCCATACTCACCTCAATCAGTCTGTGTCTGCACATTCTGTGGGGGATTTAGAGGATGCACAGGTCATTGTATCAGAGAACTGAAGAGACATATTACAGTACATTATGCTGGGCTTCACCTGGTCTGGACACACATGAAAGAGAATTCAGCTGCCACAGCTTCCTTTGTATCTCCGTTTTTCAAACTCTGAAAACAAGCTAAAAAGGAGAAAAGGGACTCAACTTTTTAAAACCCAGAAAAACTACTGGATAAAGATATAATCACAGTTTGAATCAATGTAAACAGTCTTATCATCAAATTACGGACACTTTTAAACTATATATTCTAAATGTGATGTTTCCATGTTCATCGAAAATTTGTTTCCACCTACATTAATTGTGTTACAGTGATTTAATGAAATGCCTTGTTAAATTGTTAGAAGAATAGGTAATATCCATATAAAAAGACGAGAATAAAATATGGCACCTGGCAAGGTTTTAAATAAAAAGCTTACTGTTAAGTATTTTGTATTGAATTTGTAGAAATGACTCAAGTAGATGTAAAATACAAATGAGAAAAAAAATCTGTAACAAAGAAAAAATTATAGAGTAGGATTTATCAGTCATTCAGGTTTGCATTTCAACAAAACAGCCTATCTTGATTTTGTGTGGAACCAGGTTTGAATTTAGAATATCTGTACTAGGTAGATATTAGGTCCAATACTGTACTAAAGAACACCTTCTTTTTCTAAGGATTTAGGCAAGCATGATCCTTCTACATCAGATCATCGCCCCATGTGGGCATGTGATGTGCGTACCTCAGCCAAAACTTGTCGACTTCCATAGGAGTTTTACTTGGCTTCAAGATGCGGTCCAAAGTCTAGAGGTTGATTCTGGATAGCACTGACAGCCATCAGCCCCAATTACTTTTATGAGAATTGCAGACAAAAAGCTCCTCATACACTCAGGGAGCAGAGTAAAGATGCAGATGTTCATAGTAAACCCTCGCTCATTAGAAGGATGAAAGTGTCTACAGATAAATTTCCAAAAGCAACTGGGTTTCTTCTCTCTCAGAATTTAAAATACCTTCTTCTTCAGGAAAGCTGATCCTGTGCATCCTGTGGATGTGTCATGCACTTTCTCACAGATATAGTAAAACTATTTCAATTTTCATTTTTTCAAGTTGATAAACAGAAAGCTAGTGGTCTTAGCTGAAGTGCTATACTTACACTAATGGAGGTAAAGAGACAGACCTTGTCTTTGATGAAATGTGTTTGTGAGAAGGTGAGCAACGTGGTCAAAGAACTCAGTAAATTCTGGCTTAAGTCTCTCAGCTCTTCATTCTACTGGTTCAAGAGAAATGGCATCACTTGTATACACATATTTAATGTTCTTTCAGTAATTCCAACAAACAGAGCAAGCTTTGATTTACAGGACTTCGTTGAGTAGTGGCATGAGCTACACCATCAGCCAGGTGGTGAACAGGTCTCCACCAGACAGCAGTAGCTGCAGCAATGGCTGTTTCACTTACTTCCTGTTTATTCAGCTAAACTTTTTTTTTTTTTTTTTAACCTACTACCCTCTTGGCTTCCTCCATACATTTTAGTTTGTCTTTTTAGTATGAAGCAGTTTTGTGCAAGAATTTACTTTGATATCAGTTTGCATGATATCTACCACCGAGCCAGAGGAAAGCTTAAGATGCTCTTTTACTTTGTGGTGTCCAGGTGCTCGAGGTTTAAAAAGTTCTTTGAGCTAAAGAACTGTAGAGAATGAAGTAACCTCTGCGCTCTCCTAAAATATTATTTCCCCATCTCTTTAAATTACCTACACTGGTATCACGAGTGTAGCTCAGTGGTGATACCTAACCAAGTAGATGTTAATAACTTCATAATGGCAGCACCTTGCTCTGAGCGGTGTTAAGAGCGAGTGTTGGTCAGAGCCCTGGACACCAGGCAGTGGTGCAGAGGGGTGGTCCTGCTGCAGATGGACAATTCCTGTCTCCCTGGAGCATTGCTATGATCCCTCCTGCTGAGGGCAACTGCTGTGTAACTCTTGATAAGTACTGACAAATCCTGGCTCATCTCAGGCCAAGTCAGACTGTTCAGTCTAAATGGGCAGCAAAACACCCACATGTGCTCCGAGTGGGCTGGGACCAGCCTGTCCCCACACAGTGCCACAGGTCTGCTCTCCAGGCAGTGAAGCAATGATGGCTCTGGGGCAGTTGGCACCCTCTGCAGCTGGCAGGGACAGGTCCAGAAGACAACCTTTGGCCATGGCCTTACTCTGTGTCAGGGAGAGTACTTTGGCCATGACTACAGTCTCCTGAGCCACTGATGTTTGCAAATTCAGGTGCCTACAAGTCAACGAGGAAGGTGGAGGGAAACCTTGCTAATATAATCAGAACCTGCCAGGTTTTCTTCTCCATATTCATTTATGTACAACGATTAGCTCGTTCTTTTCAAATGCCAGGGATGTATTGCTCACTAGAGGAACTTCAGTACCCAGCAGTCTTTAATGTAAAAGGCAAACCTTTCCACTAATGAGCAGTTTGTCTGGTGTTCTTAACCTTATCAGCAGCTCCTGAAGTGATAAAGGCTTAACTATTATGCACTGAAAGGTGTTGATAATTCTCAATCTTCATGCAGAAAAAGGCTCTTTTTTGTCACTTCTTAGAGTCTACTGTTAAACTTACCAGACTGCTTACAAATTACCTTGCTGTTCTGCAAAGCAGACAGCTGGATGCGTTGGTGGGCAGTCGGCAGGTGGAGCCTTCTCTTGTCAGGACAAAAATGATACCCGCTGCTTAACAGAAAAAGAACAGTTTGCAATTTAATGATTTAGACCTGTCCTAGAAAACGACCAGAGCTCCGAGTAGCTGGCACGAAAGAAAAAAAAAAAGAGAAAAAAAAGAAGAAAAAAAAAAAAAAGAGAATAAAGCTGGAAAGAGAAACAAACAAGACTGGCAAACCTGATGTGAATATCTAACCATGGCAAGGGTAGCCAGAGCAGGGTACTGGAGCTGCACTATACTGCTTGTCCCTGAGAAGAAAAGAAAAAAAAAAAAAGAAAAAAGAAAAAGAGGGGAAAAAAAGGACTACAGCTAGTTTAGGCTTAGCTTTGCAGGGTTATGGAGTGAAGAACACAGGACATCATTGTGTCTGTGTAGCTGCAAGAGAAACAATAAAAGCTTGATCAGCTGAATGCTTAAATATGGCTGAATGTTTGATGAGATGAAGATGTAATTTTGTCTATGCTCCCCAAGGGTCTGGATTAAATATGACTACAGGGCCTAATCAAATAGCTAGTCACTGAACAACAGTCCCAACTGCATTTTTCATTCCAGGCATGCCGGGTTGCCCCCCCTCCTCATCCAAGCACATTACTTATTCACTGGTTTGTCAGCACTGTGCATTATTAGCGCTTGAGAGATAAAACTTTAAGTGTTGCTCCCAATTAGCACAACAGTGACCACGCACCATGCTCTGTGCTTAATGCCTGCTCTCAGAGAGGAGCTGGTTTTGAAGGTCTGAGGTGGAGGAGAAAAAAAAATGAAACAGCTTAAGCATTCATTTTGAGTGGAGAGACAGCTCCTATTAACATTTAACAGCATTTGTGCAACTTGGTGCGGAGGTTATGATGCAAATGAGGAGGAATTAAAAGTGGCCAGGGGTTTGTCATTGATGGATTGCAGTCTGGCGGTGTTCACACTTTTGCCGTGTCCATCAGAAGCGATTACTGTGTAATTAAACCTTATTTCTCGACTCTTCAGTGCATAATTACTTTGTGAATGTAACCATCATCTAAAAAAGCTACCAAAATGCTTTAGCATTTAGTCTAGCAGTCATTTCCCTAGCTTGTGTCAGATATAACCATCAGACAGTGCAAAAGAACTGTCACTTTTAATAAGAGGCAAAAAATTAAATGAAACAGTATGCTTATTACAGGAAAATTAGGCGTTCAAGTGGTAGAGTCCTTTTCTGCTATTTGCATAATTTATTCTTTTTTGTCCCTCACACCAGAAGCTTCAGGCAATTTTCTTCACATTTAAATAGATCGCACATTTAAGGCTACTTAAGGAAAATTATCACTTTGCATATTTTAATTGTTGTGAAGAAAGTGAATAGAAGAGGTCTGCAGCTTGGGCTCTTGAGTCGGTCAGATGCTCAACTCTCTGATTCTGGAGCTCCCCACTGCTCCACTAGAGATAACCCGACAGTTCACAGCCATCCACTTGCATTTCATCAGCATGCAAATGCAGCTCCAAGCACTACAATAAGTGGGTCTTTGATATTTACAAACTAGCCACTAATAACTAAAATGTAATTTGTTTGACATAACTTTAGATTCTCTTATCTGACTGCCTTTAAAAAAAGCAGATAAGTCCTTTAGCTTTACAAAACCTAAGATATCACCCATTCAAACTGCAGCCTGCCCTATAAAGTCTGAAAGCATTATTCGTGGCAAAATCACATCAGGTTCTCTTGTCAGTGGAGTTTCAGCAATGCATCTCTCTAATTTCACTTTCAATTCTTTTGTTTAATTTGCGCTCCTCCCTACCTTAATCAAATGAAATGAAAATTCAAATAAGACTTGGAGTGAGAAGCCCGTTTCCCTCTTACCTATTGAAATACATCTGTTAGTCCGATGCTATGGAGAAAAGGGTGTCCCAGTCACCAAGAGAAGGATGCACACTCACCTCACCCTACTTTGCGCGATAATCTGGAAAGCAAAAAGAGAGAGAGAGAGAGAGAGAGACAGGGTTATGGTACAGTGCTTTACAAAGCAAAGCACTGTAAACAGACTGATGACTGTACAAATTCAGTTAATTATGAAGCTAATGAAAAATTAAAAGGAAGTTCTAATGAAAAATTTGATCAAATATTATTCAGATTATCTTTTCAAGTAATTAAGTGGTCTGGAAAAAAATGTTCCCCAAGGTACATTTTAGCTTGTGATCTTTTTCACTGAAGAAAAAAAATGCAAAAAAGTTAGGAAAGAGTAAAAGTCAATTTTCTTTCTCACAAGCCACTGTCTCTAAACATGCCAAGATATAGATTTCATTAGATCAGCATCACTTTTGTTTCATTATCAGCAACCATTCCCTTTGGTTACTGGTCATTTCAGTACGTAACTAGCTTTAAATACATACTCAATAAATTACTAAATATCCACAACACTTATGTTAGCATATGTTTTCAGAAGTTAAGATAACATTCATCTTCAAAAAAATCAAGCAGACTAATATAGTAAGTGGATCAGTTTGTTGCACAGAAACAGAAACTTCAAAATAAGATTGCACCATCATTTGGAAAACAAACAGACAAAAAATCACCCTAAAATGTGTTACTCCCCACCCCTTTACAGTTACTGTATTAAAATACATATTCTGGACATTGAAGAGAATATGTATAAGCAGGTTCATCCTTTTCATGCTCTGGAGAGATGTCGCAGAAGTTATGATATATTCAGAACAATCTCATAATTTAGAGGAGCTAGAACAAAACAGAATCCAGCAATTAAAGCTCAATGAACGAATCCATGTATCCATCACCTTTCCTGTGTATTTCCAAAATGCTAACCAGCAGACAAAAGTAACATGAACAGTATCATGCTGAATGGACCCCAAATCCATACAGATAAAACACAGAATAAATTCAATTTCCAGTTCTGACCTTGATTGCACAGAATAAGAACTGAGGTATCTTTTATTATTGTGTATTACAGTAATTAAAATTCAGTCCTCCATGGAAATGCAGGAAATGCAATTGTAGGAAACGCAACTGTAGGAAACACATGTGTACATACACACAGAACTTTCTTTATTTGAAATTATAAATAAATCTATTCATTCTCTGGAAACAACCTCTTTTCTACTCTGCTCTGCCTTTCCAGGTTCTTCTAGATTACTGCCTTGGAAGGAACGCAGCACAGCAAATTACAGCCAAGTCCCGTAACTCCTGTAACTCCCATACGTGATGACGGAAGGATATAAGATTTCTCACAATTTCAGCAGCTATTCCCTCTCCAGATGACAACATAGGCATAGATGCAACGGGCCAGCGTATCTGTACCCAGCTAGCCACTGCGATAGCACTTACCAATGGATATGAATAAGAGCTCTAATTAGTATTGCTTCATTGGCTGGAGTGGTTTGGAGCAAAAAAAATCTTTTTGTTTTATTTTCATGTTCTCTTTTGTAGTAAGCATATTTCATTAGGGCTTTAATTCACAGACACAACAATAAAATTTAAGTTATTAAGCTTGGCAAGAAAAAACAGTAATTGCAAAACAATATTATACAATTGTTATGACTTGGAATTTTTAAAATATAATATTAAAATGTCATTAGAGTACATTTGTCCCATGATACAGGCGTGGTAATATAATCAAACTGAAACACTGCTAAAAGCTTGAGGACTTTCATCTGTCCTAACCCACGTTCACAGCACAGACTTCTACCCGTACAGGTCGGTTATTCAGGCAAATGGAGCAGCACGGTCCCCGACAGACACAGCTAACCCAAGAGAAGCTGCAACTGTAAATGCAAATACACGGGAAAAGCCGCCTTAACCTGTAAAGCTTTCTTTGTGCGTGTACCCCACGAGTGGGGAAAGCTGTTGATACAGCTGCTTCCACTCTCTGTGCTCTTTGCCGGGAGAGCATGTTTGCTGTCACCGTCAAAAGCTTCATGTGGCTCCAGCCCCCAAACAGCATTTCTTTCATTCCCCAGGCAGTTCCTTTCTGAGTGTTGCCACCCTCTGAATCATGCTCCATTTCTTGATGAAGCAATTCACTTTTTGCCAGTAAAATTCTGTAGGAATGTTATTTTCTGTTCCAAAAGCGCAGGAGCAGAGCAGGAAAAGGCAGAGTGCTGCGAATGCCGACTCCTCTGAGCCTTGAACAAAACTGCATCTAACACAGAAAAGCAGATTTTGAAAAAGATTTTATAAAGGACAGTTCCCACAGTTAAACTAAATTGATTTCTACTTGTCCCAACAATACTGCTTTCCAATTAGGGTAGAAAACTCTTTTATTCTATTAAGGAATGCTGTTATCATTACAGTTTGAAACAACTCATTAGTTCCTAAAATTCCTCTCTGTACTGTGGCTGAAGTTTTACTGTTTGAACCTCAACAGCTTTATGATAAATGCACCCTCAATAAGGACAGACAGCAGCACCAGCTATGGCAAAGCATCAGAGATCTATGAGGTAGCGGTGCCCAGACCCTCACCTGGGAGTCCAAGACACCACAGGAAAAGCAGTTTCTGCATTTCACACATCAGGAAGACAGCCCCCTTCCCCAGCGCAAGCCCCCCCAACAGCACAACTGTCAATTAAATGTTTAAGATACAGCACAATATTTTTGTCTTGCGTTTGAAACTACACACAGTAATTAAGCCCCATGTGTGTCACGTTAGAAATGATAATGCAGGATCTAGTGCAGTCATCTTGAAGAGACTTTGAATTTTATTTCGTTTTGGTGCTGTGGATGCTTTAAACATACAAAACCACTTGAGCAGCACTTTTCAAGGTACAATGTAAACCAGCTTTGCCGGAGAGAATGTCACTTGAAATGGTAGATATATCGATGGAATCAGAGAATCTGCTTAAACAAACATTATGCGAGTTCAGATTTTTCTTGGCTGTCTTATAACAAACAAACAAAAAGAAGGTAATGTTACAAAATAACGGCAGAGATAACGTATCAGGAAGTGGTTAAACCCCATTTCCTTGCCTTGCCACTATTTAAAAGCAATATTGCTGTGCAACTAATTTTATGTAAGGACTAGTTGCTCCT